ACAAAGAGACGAACGAGCTGCGAGAGAGCTGGAGATGCACACGGGCTGGTGCGCTGCGCCTGTGGGCTTCACTTTGGCTGAAACCAGTTGCCTGAGCTTGTCAAAAGATGCGGCACGTGTGACATGTGCAACATTTGGTGTTGCAACTTTTGTCGCTTGTTGTTTGTTGTTGTTGTTTGCTTCATTAGTGCTGACAGCAGGCCAGAAGGTGTTCCCAGCATCATCTAGCCTACGCTGGCCTCACTCTCTTTTTCTCCCTCTCTCTCTCTCTCTCTATCTCTTTCTGACCAAACGAAAAAAATATAACCAGCCATTCTTTGCCAACAAACTGTCAAAGGCAGTTCCAGCTACAAAAAGAGCTGCAAAAAGAGGACAGAAAACAATCAACAGAAGGGTGTTGGGGGTGGGGTAGGGGTTGCCCTATAGAGAGTCTATGCTACATGGCTGTTGCTGACAAAGAAAGTCTGCTTTACGAATGTTTGATTAAGCGAACTGCAGGGAGCAAAATATGGGGAAAGCATTTAGACTTAAATTATATGATGATTTGTTGAATACATATATTATTTATAATATTTAAAACCAATATTGGCTAAAGTGAAATATGTTTTTTGTTTCATTTAGCAACTAATAGGTGAAACCGATTCTGCTAAGCAGTTATAGCTATTTTACTCAATTTGTTAAATACTTAGTTACAGAAAATAAAAGCTTAAATAATTAAACTAGTTTATAGTTATGCTCTGCTTATATTGAGTTTAAACTTAAAATGTAAATACTTTAGCATGAGAGAGCATGAAAAAAATAATAGTTACTTTAAATATAAATATATAATTTTCTATATTTACACACAAATTATATATATAATACTTTCATTCAATTTAGTTGACTGCTAAAATTGAAGCTATGAATTTTTTAAAACTTCTCATTTTAATTATTTAGTAAATTTTCTTATTATTACTTAACTACTTTACTACAACCCACCGAATTGCTGCAAATGAAATTAAATTTCAACAAAATTGAATCGTATAAATTGCTCATGAAGTGGCTCGCCATTAATTGCGGTAGCTCACAATTTAAACTTGAAGACTCCAATGGGCATCGCAATGCAGCGCAAATGCTGCAAATGGCCAGCCAGCAGGGCCTGTTCTTAGCGGCTGGAAGCGGGACTGGAAGTGAGACTGGAAATGGACTTGCTCTGGCCTTTGCTATCAGCTTTAACTGTAAGACGCAAAGCAAAGCAGCTTGGCTTTCAAACGTTTAGCAGCAGGCAGACAAATACGTTGATTGTTTTCTGCTGTAGCCGGCACGTAAATGATACTGACAGTTTGTGGTGTGGTGCGAGGGGGTAGGTAACAAGCACATGCCAGTCGAATCACTTGATGCGGCATCGCGCCTGTCCAGCTGCCAGCAGCAGGCAAGCGGCCAAGCGGCCAGCAGGCCGTTTCTCAGCTAAAGCAACAGTTGAGACAAAACTTAATTTCTACATTTGCTGACACGACAACAACAAAAGCAACAAACCTCAACAACAACAACAAAAGGCGGCTGTCAGATCATATTTACGGCAGCGGTTGAGTGGGTAAACTGGTAACAGTAGCTCGCGCCACTGGGAATACAGCTCATCTTCGAAGAGACGAGTCGCAGCTAGGGGTAGGGAGTGGCGAAAGGGAGGTGGAGCGGAGCCTATTCCTGGGCATCGATTCCATTAGACGCTTTTAGTGCTTGTTAAATTCCAATTAACAACTTTTTCTGCCAGTTCGACTGATTGGCGATTTGCTGTGGCTGCCTTTTAAGGGCGTGGCAGGTAACCGCCCACCCCGCGCTCACAATCTCTGTCTCTTTCATTTGTTGCCTGTCGCTAGTCGCTCTGCGTTAATTGAACCCGCACACACAGTTGGCCATGTAAGAGTCACATTAGTTGTCTAGTTTGTTTACCTGTCAGTGAGTCGGTCTACCTGTTTGTTTGTTTGTTTGTCACGCAACTGTTGCACGTAGCACGCTGAAAGACAGAAAGAAAAACCTGCACCTGCCATCGCTTGTGTGAGTCAGTGCGACGCACGCGCGTTTTTCTAGCGCTTCACGCGCGTTTTTTACAGCCACGAATAACAATCAATTTTAATTTTAATTTTAATTTGTTTAGCTKCTAGCCAAATGCGGTAACCGACCAGCTGCGCAGGCAAATCATTTTTATGATTGACCATTCGTGTATGATGAGCTGCCCATCCTCGGCCTGCCTCTCTCTCTCTTTCATTCTCTGTCTGTCTACCTTTCCGTCAGCATAATGAAAATTGATTGAAGCAATTTCAATCAACAGAGATTTTTGCGCGCCAAACGTTTTGTTGTTAGTTTTCTTTTTTTTGTTTGTTTAGATTCGATTTTAGTTGTTGCTTTTGGTTGATGGAAAATGCGGTTTGATGTTTACAGCCTAAAATAGATGCGTGGTATTGCAATTAATTGGAAAATGCTTCGTGCAATAAACATTATATATCGGCGATGAAAAACCTGTAATGATTATAAACGCCCAGCCAGAAAATCTAATCTATTTTGGCTGTAGGCCAACGAGATGATCAAGTTTTATGCGCTCATCAATGAAGTTCAATGTGCAAAATAGCTAAGGAGATGCCATAAAACGGAAAAGAATAAAATAAAACATAAAATTGCCTCAGATTAATTTGAATTTCTGCTTAAAATAGAGAGCAATAAAACATTTGTTGTTGTTGTTATGGTTCCCACATAAACATGAACAATATAAATAGTTATCGTTTAGTTGATGTCAGCATTTAGCATTAAACATGAATAAACTTGTACATAAATAACTAAGCCTTAGTCAATTGATTGCAGAGCTAGCCAAAGCCAATAAAGTAATAAGCTAACAAAACAATAATGAATGGCTGCACAATTTTTTGACAGAATCTTTATAAATTGAATTATATCCACAATTTGCAATAAAAAATTAATTTTAATTCTGATAGTAGTCGATGGGAATTTAAGCCATATTATTGATTGGCAAAGGCCTGATAGAAACATGAAGTATATGAAGATGGAGGAGAAATAATGATATTACAATATTTCTTATTTTGGTCTTTATCAAGATTTAAGAGACACAGAATAGAAGTAAATATAATGTATAATAGATAACTTCCGGAAACATTCACTTTAATTTGATTTATTTTATTTATTTATTTATTTTATTTTATTTTTTTTCAAACCTATTTCTGATTCATATCTAATTTCTAATCCATTTGTAAGCCAAACAAATATAAAATAAATAAAATTATTGAAAATAGAAAGAGAAAATCTCTTTTTTTTTAGAGATGTGAGAGATATATGCAAAATGTTGATAATAGCTAAAAGTTACAAAGCTCAGCCTATTCGATCACTATTATGATACATGCATATATTAAAAAGATGTTCACCTACATAGAAAAAGTTTTGTTTATAATAAAATTATAATAAAAAAAATCAATAAAGTTTACGCTCAATCAATCGTGTATAATTTCTCTGTAAAAATGTAATACATTCATCTTTATCTTTATATGGCTGACTATAGACAATACCCAAATCATCATACATGTAGATCTAGCATTCTAGTCTTCTCTTACATTTAATTAACAATTTATTAACAATAAATTTTTGCATTTAATGAATAATTTCAACTGAACTTATTCATAAAAAAAGAATAACAATTTGTTTAGCCAGATGCTAGCACTGCCCTAAGCTAATACAATGCTTAATACATATATAAAATCAAGATCGAAACGAGCTTATGCAACCGCGCAGATAACGGCGCAATACTTTAGAATTAATCTAATAAAATATATACCTACTGAGGCTTATCTGCGAATGCTCTCAAGGAGACCAAATGTGCTCGTCAGCAATTAAGAATTGTTCAATTATAAACTGACTAGACTGTGTATATATCCCATTTCCTATATCTCTGTCTGAGTGTGTGTGTGTGGTACTATATAATTCAAAATTTGTGCTTACAACTAAAGCAATGCGTCGCCAATTCGCTTGAATTCTGACGTTTGTTTGCATATGGATATATGCATATATATATATGTATATTTATGTATACATACATATATGTTAAATAAATCTAGTGTCTGCCATTATTTACTTATTGTATGGTTTGCATTAGCGACCACGTGCGCAACAACAAAAACAACTGTAGCCAAAGAGCCAACTACAACCAACCACCAAGCCCCACCGACCAACCAACTAAACCACCCACCCAGCGACCCACCCATCCAGCCAGCCAGTAAATGCAGTCAACAAACTGCCGTCGCATTTTGGCTAAGACTCGTGTGCATTCGCCCTGCTGCCAAGTTGAATTGTTTAAACTAAACTGATAAATGGCTGGAAAGCCAAACTGATATAGCGTATACGCAGCGTACACAGAAGGAGATAGATAGATACAGGGAGAGCGAGGGTGACAGGGAGAGGGGGTAGCGGGAAGGCAGTTCAGCTCGTAGCGCCGTAATGTCAAATAGACAATAAACGTAGCAAATTGTATTAACTTACGACTTGCGTTGGCTGCTCGTTAGGCTCAACTTGTTACGGCCAACATTTGACAAATTGTTGCAGATACATCATTTTGATCGTGTCACAGTGATAAAAGGCCAAAGAGCAACAACAAATACAGCAACAAGAAACAAAGTCGCGCCGGCGTGAAATCATCGCCGATAAATCGATTACTCGATGTGGCGCGATAGAATTTTGCATTTCAATGCAGGCGGCAAGACAATTAGAGACAAAGATTGATGGCTTTGCAACGTGCCGCAGCAACAGGCCAAAACTCACCGAGATCACAGAAAAGCTGGCTTTGATTGATGCAGATTGTTACAAGGAAAATGGAAAATAGAAAAGGAAAGAAAAAAGACATTTTTTTTGTTGAGTTGTCGTCCGCATGCACGCATGCTGCATGCCGCATGCAACTCGTCTTGCCTAATGCTCGTTTATAACTATGCCACGCCCACTCGAGCTATTGGCCTTAATCAACTTACCCCGGAATGTGAAAAGCGGCCTTCGGCGATGCAAGTTGTTAGGGAAGCTGAGGAGCTGTTGGGGAGCTGGGGAGCTGAGGAGCTGCTGGGGGCACGTCCTGGCTGCAGGCTTGGCTCCGCTCGRCTCGGCTCGTTGACGTTGTCAGCAGTTAATTGAATTAGTTGTTAATTTATGGCAATGTTTTCACTGGGAATTTTGAGAATGTGCCTCGGCCCTCTAACAAAAGGCGGCAGCACTGGATGCTGCTGCTTGAGGCATGCCTCGCCTTCAGCGGCACACACACACACGCACACACACAGAGGCACACAACAAAGCTGCGCCGCGTTCTCAACTCCCAGCTCGAGGCTTGATTAAATGCCTGCCACGTAAATTGGCTTTTAAGCGGCACGAACTGCAGCCGCTTGATAACAAATCAGCTCAAGTCTTTTCTTATTTTCATTGGCACACTTTTCACAAAGAAAACGTCACATTAACGTATATACACTATATGAAGTTGATTAGCTATTGCATTGTACATTGTACATTGAGAGTGATAAAAAATGATTGAAATTTGTATTTTTGAATTTTTCAAAATATTTTTTAACGTCTTTACTTTTGAATTTGCCTTCGAGTTGCGCGCGCCGCTTGGAAAATTGTATTTTCCGTCTTGAGCGTGTGAATTTCGCGGCTGTTGAACGACAACTGAAATCCGCATTTGCCACACACAGAAAAAAGTGATTCGAAAGGCCACGCAACAATTGCGCCGGCCGGCTGTTGCGGCTGCTCAATTTCCAATTGGGTTGCATGTTTTGCTAACAGTGCCAAATTGAGTTTAACATTGCCAACGTGAGCATAACAGTGAAGAGGCAAGCGCTAGCTTTGAATTTAACATTTATGTGAAATTGCGTGAAGCTGAGCAGGGAAATGAATAAAGTCAATTTACTATAAAGAAAATTTAATTTATTCATTCAATTCATGATTAGCAGAGTGCATATATAAAAATAAAAATTTATAAAAATAAAAATAGATAAAGTCAACAAGCTTCTATTTGCTTTGTTTTCTTTGAAGTCTGCTGATAAGCTTTTATAATAAAATATTCTTGAATTAATCTTTATATCAATGCTTTTTGATTTATTTGTGGTCTTGACGCAGTTCGTAAATCATAATCAATGTTGATTCTTTCTAATTGTAGTCTAATTAAAATGTGAATTAGAATCCGTATCAATTTTGTTTCTATAATTAAAAATGCGAGCTATTAAAATAATTCATTCTTAATTTAATATATGTTTATATATTATTACCCATATGATTTGATTCAATTGAGTTTCTGTTTGCCTGCTCTCATGTAATTTTCTTGTTGCTAAACACTGTGACACACAACATGAAAGATATTTCTATAAAATGTAGTTCTTTATCGCATTAGATAAGACTGTGTCAACATGCAGTCAAGCTTCGATAGATGCGTCAATATACACACGCGTAGTATCTATAATTGATAGTAAAAAGCAGACAGCACTTAGATAGTGTCAAAGCAAAGAAATTACCAAGTCATTTGCCTTAACAAATCAGTTTTCAAGTGTGCGGCTGTAAAAGGCTAAAGAAACGTCCCACTTAAATTATTTGTAAGCAAAGGATATACTATTCACAAAATTGGAGCTCTCTAATTGACAGTAATAGCTAATAATACTTGCGTAAAAGTAAAGGAAGATATTTCGTCTGCAAAAATATATTTAAATTTTTAGTTTTCCATTTCCCGCTCTACAAAGCTTAATAAGAATTCCCGAAAATAACATTTCAACATTTTGAAATTAATCCAAACTTTATTTAGCAAAGTTCTGCATCATTAAAAGCTTTTTAGGCTACGGTGTAGGTAAAAGCGAAGCCCGCATCGTTCGAGTCGTAGATTTCATCGCTGTTGAAAAGCACGAGCAAAGGACCCGGGTTGTTGCCTGAGAGGAAGATAGAGAGAGAGAGAGAAAGAGAGAGAGAGAGATAGAGTGAGAGGCTCATAGAGAGTAAAAGCTTTTGCAAGCTTTTGCTAAACTTACTGTTGATGACCACATCGCCTTGCGTAGCACCACAGAAGTAGGTGGCGCGTTGATTACTCTCCACCAACTTAGCCTGTGGCACCATCAAAAAGTCGGCGTTCTCAACGCTCGAGCTGCCGCTGCGATAGCAGGAGCTGTCGGTCATCAGGGAGCTGGCTGCGGTCTCAGCGCCCACATGGAAGAAGTACGAGCGAATGCTAGAAGAGAAACGGAAACATTAGATTTGAATTCAAGGAATTTGTAACGCAAAACCCACCTGAGCGAGGAGGTACCCGTGGTGCGTCTGAAGCAAATGGCATAGTTCATGTGCGAAGGATAAATGCCTTTGCCGTCGTTGTAGTTGAAGGACTTCACAACGCCCTTCGCCTCGGGGAAGTACTGCAAGCAGCCGGGTGGAGCAACTAGGAAGCCATCCGAAAATGAACTGGCACGCATCTCTGGCTGCTGCTCATCCATTGGGAGGAGCTCACGCACTGAGGCACCGGCAGGACACTCGAGCTGTGTCACCACCATATTCCACTCGGGCGTCGGCAAGGATACGCCGCCAGCCCGATTCGCCAGCGAGATGAGCAGATCGACACGATTCACACCGGCCGTGGCATTGAAGGGCACATAGATGTGCTGCCAGACCTCCACGCCGCACAGACGCAGCCCGTTCACCTCGAAATAGTCCTCCGTGCACACGGCGCTCCTCAGCTGCGACKCCTGCTGCTGCTGCAGCGTGGGCTGAGCCAGCGTCATGGCGAAATCGATGCGCAGCTGGCAAACGTATTTGCTGTACGCATTGATGTGATACTCACAGGTGCGCGGCGGATTCGATGGATTCACCAGCTTAATGTCCTTGGCGGAGGTGGTGCCACCGCAGTTGGGCGTGGCCACAGACGCCGCCTGCACACATCCTGCCAGTAGCGTAGACAGACAAACAATTGCAATGTAGCTCTTCATTTCCAGTTTTGACTTCTCCAGCGATGCCTCTGCGGCCTTTTATGGCTGCTCGAGCCTCCGAGCGTGCAACTAATTAGCATTGTTGCGGCGCCTCGATAAGAGATCTATCTCACTTTTATCGCACACACTTGGGGGTCTCTGTCGCACGAACTCTGTATATGTTCAATTCTGCAAACATTTTGCAATTAGAATTCATGTAACTGTACCTAGTATAAAGATATTAACTCTATAAATAAAACCTATATAGTGGGAGAAAAACAAACAAAAGAGACATAATGATAATTTGTACAAGATTATATTGTTGATTTGGGTAAGAAAAAGATTTTATGGAGAGAGTTTTGAGATGGGCTAGAAATAGAAATGTTTACAGTTTAGTCTATATATGTATTTCATATACATATTAAACAAAATTGTATTATTTATGTTTAAAAATATTTATTTATTTATAATTATTAT